GGGGCAGACACAGAAAAGGAAAAAGTGAATGACGGATGTGGGTGTAACAAATCAAACACATTAGCGGAGGAGCACAGGATGGTGAGGAGAGCTTATTCAAGCAAGCCTTGGGCCGCGCGATGTGCCCATACCTCTCACATATTTACAATAGCACGGAGTCGACAAATTGCTCAAAATGATTCAGACAGATCAGACGTTATCTCATTTCCTTTTCTTGTCGATCTCTTATATATATGTTTTTTTACAAACAGGGTGTTTCACCGTTTACCTTTTTTATTTATAATTTTTTCAAAAGCATTTTTCTGCATTCATTATGCGAAACGTTTCTCGCTGGCGTCTGTGGTGGAGTGATTAGGTTGTTGCACTCAAGAGACCCGAATTCGATTCCCGAGTGGGGAGATATTGCTTCTGACTTTCCTTCCTTTTCGAATGTTCCTTTGTTCACAGTTTATTATTTCTTTCCTTAGATAGATAGAGGGAGAAAGAAAGAGGGGTGTAGGGAGGGAGGGAGGGAGGGAGGGAAAGAGAGATCTAGATGGAGAGAGAGACAGGAGGTATGATGAGTGTGTTTTGAGACAGACATACAGATAGACAGACAGACAGACAGATAGACAGACAGACAGACTGAGTCAAAAAGAGTAAAAAACAGGCAGAGAGGAGAACTGGAGGGTTCAGTGAAGAAGTGAGGGAGGGAGGCAAGGAGAGTCCGAGCGGAGGTAATGAATCATCATCCAATGTCAGATCTGCGACAGACATCGGCGATCATGGTTCTCCATACATTCCTTTGCTTTGATGCTCCTAAAAAAGCTACGTTTCCCTGATCTTTCCTCGTTACCCATTTGTTTAGGTTCCCTAAGTAGGTTGCTCTGGGCCTTCCCCTGCCTCGTTTCCTTCAGTTTTGTCAGTGAGAACTAGATGATCAAGACCTTTACGTCTATTCTCTATTCAGGTTTCCCAAAAACTGCATTTGTTGTTTCCTGATTGTTTTTAACAGTGAGCGTCCCACTTGGGCTTCATCAAGCACAACCTCATTTGATTTCTTTCCCTTCCACGATATTGTGGAAGGCAATGAATACACTCCTGTATTCTGGCAGTTGGCGGGTGCTCTAGTGTGGTTTGCTCCTTCATTCTATCAAACATCTACCGTCCTGATCCCTGCTTCTTCTTTTTTTGTGTTTGTTACTCTCTTGCAACATCTCAGATCTTCGGCACTTATATGACCTTATTGTGTTGCAAGTGCCGTAAAACTAATAAAACTAAAACCATCCTGTACTCAGTTTCCAAACTTGTGTGGTACACCTCGTGTACTTTTCTGGGACCAGTACATTCTGTTATCTGTTGGAAGCCAATCCTTTCTTTAGTCTTTTCTCTAGTGGTGTGTGAGTTTGTGTGTGTGTGTGTGTGT